CGATTCAAACAAAACTCAAACAAATAAATAATGAATGCTCGTATAATAGTTAGGATTTTCTTTTACCGCCGTGTAGAGAGAGAATCTTTTTTTTATAGGATATGTGTGGACTTAGAAGGAATATCTCCTATCCAGTAAAAAGGGTCTCCGGTTCTCTACACTCACCACATGAAACACAGCAGCATTAAACTACTGTTTGACGCTGGTATTCTGTGAGAGCGTGGTCCTTCCTTGATCGAGCCGACCCATTCGTGCTACAGAAACAGAAACTTTTTATTCAATGTAGATTATAACAATACTTATTGAAAGTTACTTTTTTCATTTAGCACTGGTTCGCAAAAAAAAAACCTCTGTCCTGGGAAGAACCAGCAAGAATCCCAGCGGGACTATTTTTTTTCCAATAATAGCTTACAATCATGTTTACAATTAGCAACACAAGACAAATTAGAAATAGCTTGGTAGCGATCACCCTTCCCAGGGGTTATCATCATCCATAAATTCCTTAATATTATAATAACCCTTTTTATACAAACTTAGTTTAATAACATTTTTGAACTTTGTGTATGATACATTTTGTATATTTTCAGGGGTTTTGTTGTAAAAGCGTATACATCGCCCCAAGAATGAATTACTGACTCGTTGGAGTCAGGTAACTGGTACTACTAGCTTCAACACATTACTAATATAGCTGTAGGATGGCTTTACCACGTATCAACGATACAATCATTTTCATCTTCATTCATAATTCAAAGAAAATATTTTATCATCATCAATTCACTAATTGTAGCCTATCAGTTCCTATTTTGTTGTTTGTCTCGTGTTTATGTGGAACCTGTAACAAAATAGTATAAGCTAACTGTGTTAGCTTGTTCTAAAATTTAAAGCAAAGTTTATTGATAAAGAAAACATTGTGTCGTCATCAATTGTATGTAACGTAATGTAATGTGTTAATTAGAATAATGTGTACATAATGTCGACAGCAATGCTGTACGGAAAAACTCTAATGAGTTTATGTTTACACTAAAACTGTTTTTGTAATTATTAATTTCTTTAATAAATTTAAAAAAAACGAAACTTAACCTAAAAGTTCTTAGGTTGCACTGTTTTTCTCATGTTTATGTGATACTTGCCTAGCATGTCGTCTCCTCATCACTGTTTTAACACTTACCAAAGAAACGCAGATCTGTAGTCTAAGCACTAAACGATTAAATAAGTCAGATTAAAGAAGCCGCATTAAAGTTTATCCATCCGTTTAATGAAATAATCAATCTTTCAAAAATATAAACCGACTAAAAAGTAAAATAATAAAACTATCGAAATCGATTAACTTGGTAAATAATTATTTGCTCATATGACGTGTTTTTTTTATAATTAAAGAGATTGATATTTTTTTCATAGAGCCGTATTATCAGATGGTGTATTAAAATAGGAAGTTACAAATATAAACACATCAACAGAATCCTACGGATACCTTAATAATAAACTATTTACGAGTCTATAGTTTAAAATCTTTTTAGTTCCCATAAAAAGTTTATATACAGATTGAAAACTTACAAATGTAAATTAAAAAAAAAACAAAAGAGAAAACAAATTACGGCGGCAAAATTGCTGGTAATTTGTTACGTCAATAAAAATTAAAATTGGTCTATTGATATTAATTAGTGAAAAGAGATCGAATTGATTTTCTTTTTTAATTTAACGTGCCATGTGAGCTTCAACACACACATTCACGCGCGCGCGTGCAATTTGGCCTTACAATAGGATTAGTACCATATTATCACTTTTTAATTTTTATTTTATTTTTTTTAACTAACAAATTTTCTTCATAATAGTAATATACATTATAATACTTAGACAATAGATGGGGAAATCTGAGGCCTGCAGCACAGTTTTTACTAACACAGGCTTCAGAGCTCAAAAATAATTATAAATGTAATGTATGTTAATAAATTTCATTTCATTTCATTTAAGAGTCATGTCACGTCGTCATTTGAGTCAAGATGAAATGTTACGTTAGCCATGGGCTCTGGAGCATTTACCATGGAGTGACGAACAATGTTCTTTGGTGCTGTTCACCGATGAGTCCCGGTTTTTGTTTCCTCTGGATTCACGAAGAAAACGCGTTTAGATAACGCCAGGAGATTTAACTGTCTGCGGCACCCTCAGGAGGCCCATTCATACCATGGTGGGACAATCATGGTGTGGGCAGGAATTCGTCTTGGCGGACGAACCCAGCTCGTTTGGATCCAACACAGCATAACTGCACAAAAGTACCACGAGTAGGTAGTAGGGGCTGTTATTTTCCCACACGAAATCCAAATGGACGACATGTACGATAACGCTCCTTCCCGCACGGCCCGGCTGGTGTCGGCCACTCTCCTAGACCACGATATTCAAGTTTTTGATGGACCTGCACAGTCATCCGAAATAAATCCTATTGAGCAAGCCTGGGACATGTTACAACGAAAAGCTTTGAGAGATTTCCCGCCTAATTTGATGATGGAACAACAACTTTATTAACATTTACATAGAACGTGGGACCTCATACCGCAGCACGACATTGATATTTTAATTTTAAGTATGAACAATCGATGTCGGTGTATAGTTAATGTAAGAGGTGGCAACACCGATTTTCAATTTTAATTTAAATCAGTAGGTTTTTAAGAAGAAGTGAAGTTTTATAAATTTTTTATTGAAAACAAAAACACTAATAAAATATAAACGTTTTATATTTTTATTAAAGTCCTTAAAGTAACCTATCAATATTCCATTTACTATATCAAAAAAATCTATATAGATTTTTAGATATTTGATGAAATATAATATATCCCTAGATTCTGTTGATGTGTTTAAAAAAGTTAAAAGGAAGAAGTTAAAAAATAGAATGGGTCGGCTCGACCGGGGAAGGATCAAGCACACTTAGAAAAACTTGACTGTGTTTCATATGGTGCGTGTAGAAAACTTGAGACCACTTTCATTGGTAACGAGACATTCCATTTTAATCATCAGGGGTAACCATGCATCTGCATTTTTAATATTAATCGAGGGTAAATGTGTAAAAATGGTTCAAATAATAAAAAACTGCGGCTGCCAATCAACTTGCCAAGAGTGGCCACTAAGGCGTGGTGACCATGGACCAATCTATGGGAGGTCTATGTTTATATAATAATGATAATGGGATAATATTTTTTAGATTCTAGAAAAATAACCCTTAGAATCTCTGCTCGACTCGACAAATTTAAAGTGAACTCTTTACTTATTCGCCGTAAGGAAATTGTTCTTATATATTTACATAAAACTCTCCATAATGAGATCGATTCCGGTTACCTCTTGAGTAAATTAATATATATATATATATATATATATATATATATATATATATATATATATATATATATATATATATATCTTGTCTACAAAAATTGCCAATCATACTATCCTCAATAAAAGTGATGGAAATAATTTATTGAATTTAATAAATTTTAAAAGCTGAATTAAACGTAACTTCAGCAGATATTATATGTCTATATTAAATACAATACAATTTTAATTAAACTGTAAATAATCTGAAACAAAATATAACAACGGCTCGCGGGATATATCGATCACTAAATAGGTTATTACTAATTATAAATTATTAAATTACATCACTTTGTCCTCTTTCTATGCAAAAGAGATTGCGACAAACATAGTTAAGTAATGTTTTGCGTGAGGGCGAAACAGGTGGTTGCGAGAGGTTGGGCGGGCGCGGACACGAGCGCTCCGGACCAGCGCACTGGTGACACTGTCGAAGCTGAACTCTGCAGCTTCACCTCCAACTTCAGCCACTGTATTGCCAATCCTTAAAACTTATTACCGATTTTCACAAACGCTTATAGCAGTACATTTATAAGCGGTATACACAAGAAAAAAGTGGATAGGTACTTTGGCTCAAGTCGTAGCTTCACTATTTAAATACCTTTTTTTATTGTTTTTACTTTATTATTATAACTGCGAAAAGATGTTGCACCTCTTTGCATATTTAATCGCATCCACCACGGGGAGTGCTCTGAGGAATTGTTCAGACTAATTCCATCGCACATCGCGACAAAACTCGCGATACAATCCATACCATCTGGATGACTGGCGATCCACCACTGCGCGATTTAAAAGAAGTATTCTTCCTCGCACAACTTCCTTGTGGAATCACTATCACCAGAAATTTTCCGGACCAATACGACTTAGGGGTCTTCAAGAAAAGAACTTACTCCTTTTTACAAGACCGGCAAAGCATCTGCAATTCCCCTGATGATACAGTTGTTGATGGGCGGCGGTAATCACTTACCATTATGTGAGCTGTATGCTCGTTTACCCCTCTCCTATATATAAAATCTATTGTTGAATTGTAATTATTATTAATCCTCATTGCATTACACATATTTATTTTAAACGATTATTGGTTCACCGGCAAATACTAGCAGGACTCCTTCCTTCCTATGTTACCATCGGGATAAGTACCATCCTCTTAGATATTTCTCTCAGCAAAAAAGCAGTACGTGAAATACTATGTGTTCCGGTTTGAAGGCTATCACAAGCAAGTTTAATAACAGACTGAGGCATCCCAGCTTACTGCATTACATGTGACATCGCAGCTGTAGAATTATTTGTTTAAAGTTTGTTTATAATTTGCCACTTACCATCAAATCAACTGTAAGTTTGTTTGTTAGTTCAATTTTATTACAAAAAACCTGACATAAAACTAACTTTACGGATTTTATCGCGTTTAACCTTAACCAAGATAAGGGAACATGCCTCCCACATAGTATTTTCGATGCCCTTAACAGGTTTTGGCGATAAAACGCCCACAAACTGTCAAAAAACCCTGTAGAAATATATTACCTATGGTCACATCAAAAAAAAAAAAAGAATCGGAATGCAAATGTCACTTTTATAGCTAGTTAATCTGTGACTGTCACGACAACATACAATTGCCGTGAACAAGTGCCGCGTTTTTTTTAATAATGGCGAAACAACGAAAGGTAAGTCGTACAATTTTTTGATATGTTGTGGTTTTTGAGTTATTCTATTGATTAATGCATAAATTTTAACCAAATACTTAACAAAATTACAGATATAACTAATTTAAAATGTGGGGAACATATGCCCTTAGCCTGATAGTACTGTTGATTATGTGGGAGCTATACGTTCATAGCCTGATGAATTAGAATTGTTTATTTCGTCACTAGCTATTACCCGCGGTTTTCATTTTTAATTTTTATTATATTCTAACCAATATGCTAACATGGTAGTGGGTATGTTTTGTCATCTATTAACTAGTCATTCATTATGTGTGTAATTACTTTATTTTACAGATACTGAAAGATTCTCAGATCGAAGATATTCTTGATGATCTCATTTTCGAACATCTGTTCGAATCAGAGGAAGATGAAGAGGACGAGTATGGAGAATCACATTTGGATTACGTTCCAAGAACAATAAACGCAATTTTGAATGAAATGCAGGGTATGTCACAACAACAGTTATTAAATATTTTAGACGATGATCCATGTCAACTTTATTTAGCGTCACTTGTCAATGACCTTGAAGAGTTGCGACCTCGTGTTTCGCTGTCTGTATCATCCTCTAACTTACCTGCTCATCCTGAATTGCTTGCTCCTGCTCACCCTGAAGTGCTTACTCCTGCGGTTGATGAAGAGATGCCACCTTATGATCCATTGTCTGCACCATCATCGCACTTATCTGCTCACCCCAAAGTGCTTTCTCCTGCGGTTGAGGAAGAGATGCCACCTTATGTTCCATTGTCTGCACCATGCTCTAACTTACCCGCTAACCCTGAAGTACTTGCTCTTGGTGTCGGTGAAGAGTTGCCAGCAGGTTTTTCACAGTCTTCACCAATCAGTAACTTACCTGCTGATTTGCCAACTTATGCTGAATTACAGGCACGGAATAGAATGTGGACTACTGAAGTTGAAAATTTCGAGGAGTACAGTTTTAATAAGGAAATGCAACCCACTAAATCATATAACCATAAAAGTCTCCCTATTGAATATTTTAGTAATTTGTTCCCAGATGAGCTTTTTGAAATGATCGTCAAATATACAAATAAATATGCAGCGTTGAAACAAAGCAAATTCTGGACAGACACTAATGTTAATGAAATAAAAGCATTTCTAGCGATAATCATTCTAATGGGAATAAGCCCTCAGTCAGATATCGAGTTGTATTGGAGTGCAGATCCGTTTTATAAGAACATAGAAATAAGTAGCACAATTAATTGCAAAAGATTCAAAAAAATCCTAGAAAATTTTCATGTTTGCGACATTACAACTCATTTGCCCAGGGGTCACAAAGACCATGACAAACTTCAAAAAATAAGACCACTGCTAACTTATCTAAACATGACATTCCAAGAGAATGCTACCAACTCGCAAATCCAGTCAGTGGATGAAAGTATGATTAAATTTAAAGGCCGTGACTGTAAAAAACAGTATATGCCAGCTAAACCCATCAAGAGAGGGTTCAAGGTGTGGTGTCGATGTGATGCAAAAAGTGGTTACCTCTACCAGTGTGATATTTATGCAGGCAAAGACCAAGAACTTAATGAGGAAGGCTTAGGTTACAGAGTTGTAATGAAACTAGGAGGAAATTTACCACCAAATACACATTTGGTGTTTGACAATTTTTTAACCTCTGTAGTTCTTATGGAAAGTCTTTATTATAGAGGAATTCTGGCTACAGGAACAGTCCGAATGCTACGTAAAGGTTTTCCTAAAGAATTGTCTACACGAAAACCTAAAACTCCTGAAGAAAGAAGACTGGTAAATGAAACAAAATTGAATCCTGGAGAGTTTACGTACCGCTTCTGTCATCCTTGTGCTGTGGTCAAATGGAAGGATACCAAAGATGTGCATGTTTTGTCGACGGCAGTTAACACAACCAAAGTTGAAGTAATCCAAAGGACTCAAAAAAACGGGGAAAAGAAAGATATGTTCTGTCCATCTATAATTGCAGAATACACAGGAAGTATGGGTGGCGTGGACCATTTCGACCATTATCGAAGTTCGTACGCAATTGGCCGCAGGTCAAAAAAGTCATGGTTCCGCCTGTTTTGGTTTTTGTTCGAGAGTGCTATTATTAACGCATACATTTTATATAAACACAAACACGAAAATCGTCAAAACATACACCGAGATTTTAGATTACGTTTAGCTAGAAGCTTAAAATCGGCACATATCTCAAACAAAAAACAAAATCCTGTGGTATTCAGAAACAAAAAGGGGGGTGTTTTTGGGGTTCCAGATGAAATTAGATTGCGGCAAACGGGATATCACTATTTGAAACTTTCTACGTACAAACGTTGCAGGTTTTGTAGTACAAGAAAGCAAGAAAAGCGATCAAAATATGAATGCGAAAGGGGGACGCCCATTTTCGGCCATGGAACGCCCAACAATGTGCATTTGTTAAAAAATTATATCTTTATTTATGGTTATTAATCGCGGTATTCATTTATCCTCAAACAATGGGAATATTTTTGCACAAATTAAAAGTACCGAAAAGATAATAATAAAAATTAGGTAGATCATTATGTCATTAGTTTGTGAATAAAAAAAAAAGTGTTGCCAATCACAAAACACATTTAAAAAAATCGATTCTCTTTTTCGATCGATTATTTACGGTGTCATCATTACAGTACTAATATAATTTTTAAATAATTATTATGTTATGATAAACAAGCGAATTACTAGTTGATTTCCAATGAATTCTTTAGAGAGTAACAAAACGCTACGGCACAATTTTACTGTTAATCTTAACCGATCTTCTTTGAAAACAGATAAGAACTGTTATTCTTATCTGTTTTCAAAGAAGATCTGTTAAGTTATTCTTATCTGTTTATAACAATACATTTAAAATAGAATCATGTTATGATAACGAAACAAGTTAGTTTTCAGCTGATTTACCATGAATCCTTTAACCTTTTGAGCGCCAAAGTCGCCTATACTTGACCAACACCTGCGGGCCCTGAGCGCCAACGACGTCTATAGTTGACAAAAAACCCGGCTCTCAAAAAATGAAATATAGATATTGGAAAATTATTACAGGTATTTTAATTCTACACTCCTCAAAATAGGAATAACCCAGCAACATGTGAGTATAAAAAACAAGTCTTCTAGAGCCACAAGTACTAAGAAACATTGAACCAATAAAAATTGATTTTTATATAAGTCCAGCACGCCAAAGTCGTCTATGATTGACCACTAATGTCAAACGCGGGAAGCATAGATTTTTTGAAAACTATCCAAAATTCAGCTCAATGGTGTTTTTTTTTCTATTATTATTATTGATATTTCAATAAAATTAAAGGTTAGAAACATAAAACCATAATTAGCTACATAATAAAAAAATGTTATCAGATCATCTTCGCATAATAAATCTAATATCTCAACTCTCAACTTTAGCGCGTTATCGAAAATCAGTTCACTGGGCACCGTGATCAAGGATAAACGACACCCTGATGATGTCATAAGTGATTACCGAGAAAAGTAGAGCAATGCAACATGAACGATTCCTCAGAACTCATTCGGATTTCGGAAAGCGTCGGTGATGATGAATTTTGATTTTTGATTGATGAATTGAATTTTTGATTGATTGGTGAACAATTATGTTTATTTATTCCATGACCAAGATTTTCATATTATAAGGCTGATTTACCTAGTGCGAATAATTATATACAATTGTTGATAAATGAATAATTATGTACCTTTTTTTAATAATAATACAAAATTACAATTAAAGTTTTTTTTTACTTAAGGTGTGACGAGCAATTTTTCATTTTGTGTTGTGCCATTTCTTTCTCAGTCTCAAAATCATCTAGCAGCATCAGCATCATATCAAATCCCCATTGTTATAAGAGTGTAAGACTTTTCTTCTGTGCTTCACTTGGTCTACGCCTTCCCCGACACATAAAATATTATGAATCGATGTCTGTACATTTCGGTTAGATCGATTTTGAAATCGATACACAACATTCTAAGAATGTTTAAAAAAGGAAGGTCAGCTACGCCGTTGTCGTCCAGTCGTGACAGTGTCGTCATTAGGATGGAGAGTAGTGCTGTGGTTTACTACTATTTTATTGTTATTGTTTGTTTTTTATTTATGTTTACATGTACAAAGTACATATATAAAAAGAGTGGATGACAGCACAAGATTAAATAATACATACAGTTTATAAAGGGTCATTTATAGCATAAAAAACCAACAAAAACAAGTTATTTTACGTTATCGATATATCAACTCTTGGCAACACTATTTTGTTTTGGCGCTTTGGCGTACAGGACACGGTAATGCGTTTTTGGCGTGGCGCTCAAAAGGTTAAAGCTTAACAAAACGCTACTGCAAAAATTAACTGTTCTTAAAAATACATTTCAAATAGCATTTAAATAAATAAAGGAAAATATATTTTAAAAAGTGTGCAGAACTTAAAGCACCTCAAAGATTGTTTTTTAACGATATTATTAATCGAATAAAAATCGATATCTTTTCATCGATTTTATGTCAGTTAAGTGGCAACATCGAGTCTGACAGCTAGGCCCTGTCATGGAATGAAATCACAATTTAGTTCACATTTCACAACTATATCTATACCTATATAAATAGTCACATGTAGAATTCATTTGCGTGTTACTTTGTTTGTTTTTATTTTTGTGAATTTGTTATCGAAGTAACGAACTAGCCTTATAAATGGACTCTGACATTTTTTCCCATCATATAGCGAAAACACGAAGGCATTTGTTGGAAATTCCAGAACTGCGAAATCTTATACAAGAATAGGTTCGACCACAGCAGGTAAATAGTTACAATCATGTGTCATCTCTTCCTTTTCGTCATTCTACAATTGCAGCAATGCTTATTAACTGAGTTGTCTTATAATTATATCAATTGATATAATAATTATGGCTTCTTTATTAGGTACAAGTTTCGAGTGATAGTGTAGTATGCCACGCATGTTGGACTGCAGCCTGGAATCAAATACGACATCCAACTAGCGAACAGGAAAATTCACCAATTAATAGTCATGGACATGTATGTATCAGCTTTGGCAAGTCACTTTTGAGAATAAGATCACACACATTGTTTGGGTCTGGTTCTCCACGTGAGGAACTCATAAGGAATGAAATTGCCCATCAAATTGCACCACGTGAGGTATGTGTTTTTTAATTTATTAAGTGTGTGTGCTCATATCTGATAGAGATACATGTTTTTACTCTGATTACATCCACACAAACTATATCTGACAAACATACAAGCTTATTTATAACATGGCGATAAGATTAGCTTGTCACCACCAGATAGACTGCTACCGTTTTTACCAACTACCAAGTAATGAATCCTGGAGAGTTTACATACCGCTTCTGTCATCCTTGTGCTGTGGTCAAATGGAAGGATACCAAAGATGTGCATGTTTTGTCGACGGCAGTTAACACAACCAAAGTTGAAGTAATCCAAAGGACTCAAAAAAACGGGGGAAAAGAAAGATATGTTCTGTCCATCTATAATTGCAGAATACACAGGAAGTATGGGTGGCGTGGACCATTTCGACCATTATCGAAGTTCGTACGCAATTGGCCGCAGGTCAAAAAAGTCATGGTTCCGCCTGTTTTGGTTTTTGTTCGAGAGTGCTATTATTAACGCATACATTTTATATAAACACAAACACGAAAATCGTCAAAACATACACCGAGATTTTAGATTACGTTTAGCTAGAAGCTTAAAATCGGCACATATCTCAAACAAAAAACAAAATCCTGTGGTATTCAGAAACAAAAAGGGGGGTGTTTTTGGGGTTCCAGATGAAATTAGATTGCGGCAAACGGGATATCACTATTTGAAACTTTCTACGTACAAACGTTGCAGGTTTTGTAGTACAAGAAAGCAAGAAAAGCGATCAAAATATGAATGCGAAAGGGGGACCTCCATTTTCGGCTATGGAACGCCCAACAATGTGCATTTGTTAAAAAATTATATCTTTATTTATGGTTATTAATCGCGGTATTCATTTATCCTCAAACAACTGGTTTACTACTATTTTATTGTTATTGTTTGTTTTTTATTTATGTTTACATGTACAAAGTACATATATAAAAAGAGTGGATGACAGCACAAGATTAAATAAAACATACAGTTTATAAAGGGTCATTTATAGCATAAAAAACCAACAAAAACAAGTTATTTTACGTTATCGATATATCAACTCTTGGCAACACTATTTTGTTTTGGCGCTTTGGCGTACAGGACACGGTAATGCGTTTTTGGCGTGGCGCTCAAAAGGTTAAAGCTTAACAAAACGCTACTGCACAAATTAACTGTTCTTAAAAATACATTTCAAATAGCATTTAAATAAATAAAGGAAAATATATTTTAAAAAGTGTGCAGAACTTAAAGCACCTCAAAGATTGTTTTTTAACGATATTATTAATCGAATAAAAATCGATATCTTTTCATCGATTTTATGTCAGTTAAGTGGCAACATCGAGTCTGACAGCTAGGCCCTGTCATGGAATGAAATCACAATTTAGTTCACATTTCACAACTATATCTATACCTATATAAATAGTCACATGTAGAATTCATTTGCGTGTTACTTTGTTTGTTTTTATTTTTGTGAATTTGTTATCGAAGTAACGAACTAGCCTTATAAATGGACTCTGACATTTTTTCCCATCATATAGCGAAAACACGAAGGCATTTGTTGGAAATTCCAGAACTGCGAAATCTTATACAAGAATAGGTTCGACCACAGCAGGTAAATAGTTACAATCATGTGTCATCTCTTCCTTTTCGTCATTCTACAATTGCAGCAATGCTTATTAACTGAGTTGTCTTATAATTATATCAATTGATATAATAATTATGGCTTCTTTATTAGGTACAAGTTTCGAGTGATAGTGTAGTATGCCACGCATGTTGGACTGCAGCCTGGAATCAAATACGACATCCAACTAGCGAACAGGAAAATTCACCAATTAATAGTCATGGACATGTATGTATCAGCTTTGGCAAGTCACTTTTGAGAATAAGATCACACACATTGTTTGGGTCTGGTTCTCCACGTGAGGAACTCATAAGGAATGAAATTGCCCATCAAATTGCACCACGTGAGGTATGTGTTTTTTAATTTATTAAGTGTGTGTGCTCATATCTGATAGAGATACATGTTTTTACTCTGATTACATCCACACAAACTATATCTGACAAACATACAAGCTTATTTATAACATGGCGATAAGATTAGCTTGTCACCACCAGATAGACTGCTACCGTTTTTACCAACTACCAAGTAA